CTGCTTTGGACTGGTTTTCCGGCTTTGGCTGTTTTTGATAGAAAAATCACTGCACCTGCATGACTATCTCTGTTGATGCTTTTATATCTGCAAGACTATTATTTTTGTTAATTTATTATTACCTTATAATGCTATTTTTATGCCAAAGGGGGAGAAATAAGTAAAATCGGTACTGCGAGTACACACATTGTATGGCTATGCCGATTGAGGGAGAGTCGGCTGTGGAGTCACAGGTATTGCGACTGTGGAGTTGACTGTCACATGGTGTTCAGTTGAGAGGGAGCCAACTACAACAAGAAAATAGTCAATTGAACAGGGAAGCTAAATGCTTTTATATGTTATTTTGTCATCATAAAAAAGGGGGAGAATGTTCGATCTAGATTTCAATGATGAAAAATAACATATCTTTATTTGCAGGACCATTCCAAAAGCAACGGAAAATGAGAGAAAGTCTGTCTATGATGTACTAAAGAAGACAAGAAAGGAAGGAGTAAAAGCAGAGAAATAAAAAGATATGCAAAGATCTGACAATGGAGAATATGTAAGGAAGATCCAATATTAGAGGAGATCTAGGAAAGAAAAAGATATGCAAAGATCTGACAACCTAGATGATGGAGAATAATAAAGGAAGGATCAAGATTAGAGGAGCTCTAAGTTGCTAAAATTCCGTGCCAAGATTACTGAAGATACGTGTCGCAAAGGAAAGATATCAATCTCCAGAATCAAAGGATCAATCTAGGGACGATTTTCTCACGGAGATTCGCTCTCAGATGGAAAGATTGGCAATCAACATCCAAAATCAGAAAGCTTTACACTTGTTCTTGAAATGAATAAAACTGATTTAACTCCAAGAATCAATTCCCTTAGGACTGCAAATCTCTCAAAGATCTGCCATAATCAAACAAAGCAAAGTTCAAAGTTTATATATTGCAGACCATCATGGAAGAGAAGATATACTTTGATCAAACTAACTCCGTGCTCTTTGTTCCACTCTAAACAAGCATTGTAATATATGTGTAGTTTACTGTGTAACCAGTAGAGAGAAGAAAGAGAAAAACATTGGTGAGGCATTGTATCACAATTACTATGAGTGTACTTATAACCAAAACAGAGTTGGTGTTCGGGATAACATCAACATATTTGTACGAAGTTATTCAAGGATCGTTGAAGAGAGAACACCCTTGCAACACTAGGAGAATGGAGTATGATTCACATTGAATCTGAACCAGTATAAAAATTATGGGTATCATTCAATTTTTGCACTTTACATTCTGTCTTTAATTTTATCTTGCCTCTATTTTCAGTTGACTACTTGATAAATTAGTCAACTACTTAGGAAAGTTCACATGAAAATATATACGAAATCCTATGATGTCAAAATCTAACGTGTAATCAAAAAGGGAGACTATCCAATTCCAGCAGTAAAGTCTGACAAGAAGGCAGATGGACAAACATCTACTAAACCTGTCGATTTGGATGAATACAATGATGAGCAAATGGCAGTAATACAAGTGAATTCCAAGGTACGAAATCTCCTATACAACGCAATAGGTGGAGAAGAATACAAGAAGATATCAAGCTGTAACGCTGCTAAAGAGATGTAGGACAAGTTGCAAGTAACTTATGAAGGAACGAACAAAGTTAAGGAGATCAGGATAAACATGCTGATCCATGACTATGAACTATTTCAAATGAAAGAAGGTGAATTCATTGAGGAAATATTTGCCAGATTCAACAAAATTATTGGAGATCTAAAGGTTCTTGGAAGACCATACTCAAGCGGTGAGCATGTTCGAAAAATTCTAACGAGTCAACCTACTACTTGAAAAACAAAAGTAGAAGCCCTTGAATCTCATGATTTAAACAAACTATCGTATGATGAACTACAAGGAGATCTTATTGCCTTTGAGAAAACACAACGCAAAAAACGAGGACAGGAAGAAAATAAAAAAATTGTTTCTTTCAAAACCTCGATAGAAGGATCTGAAGATGAAAATGAAAAAGAAGTTGAGGAACTTGAACAAGAGATAGCTATGGTCTCAAAGACTATGAATGGGCTAATGAGACGATACAGGAATACAAAAAAAAAAGGAGAATGTCTTCCAGAAGAAGAAGAAAGTGCAATGAACAAGAAAAGAATGATGAAAAATGCTATGAATGTGAAAATATGGTCATAAACAAGTCGAATGCCAAGATCTCAAGAAAAAAGCATATAAAGGATTTAACAAAAAAAAACACCTTTGGAAGTTGGAGTGATGAAGATAGCTCAGAGCATGAGAAAATTGCAAATCTATGTTTCATGACTATTTTAGAGAATGATATTGATATTCGACTTAAAGTATGCATATTTTTATGTATATTACCTCGCACTTTACTAATGTCTCGTAGATTTAGGATGTGTAATATAATGATTTGTGCTAATTTATGATATTTCTATGTGTAGGAATCATCCGGATGCAATTTGGGATGAAGGTACGCGAATTGAAGCGAAATGAGAAGAAAAGGGAAAAGTGCATAGAGTAGCGCCACAGGCAGCGTGTGGCACTACCTGTGACGCACAAAACAGAAACATCAAAAACCCAACGCCAGGGCTAGCGCCCCACGCTACCCTGGGCGCTGGTGAGATGAAAGTGTCCTAGTTTGCCCAGGACTTTGTTATTTCAACCCCAAGATGTTCCCAATTCATGTAAAAGCAAACCTAAACCTATTTTGGCAAGAGGGACGCTACTTTTGAGAGAGGAACGAAAATACGGAACACTCGGGAGCACGGATCTGATCAATTCTTCCATTCTTCTTCTAGTATTCATAAATTTTATGTTTTAAAACATTATTTTGCTGATTTTTATGAACATGAGTGGCTAAGAACCTTATTATTCTGGGATCATGGGTGCTACATGAATGTTGACGTTTGAAGCTTAAATTGACGAGTTTGATGTTATCATATTGGGTTATTTATTTAATTCTGTTCTTAATTATTTTGCTGCATAGCTAATAGTAAAATACTACATACGAATCTAGTTGAACTCGAAAGTGGGAATTCTAGATTGAATATAGGATTAAATAGAGCAAGTTCTTAAACCCAGGCATCCGGAATTGGATTCGCAATTAGGATAGAAATATACCTAATTGTCTTGCTTAGTTGAAATACAGGAAGTGTAAATGCGTTCTTGTTAGTCTTAATTACATAGACATGTAGGTATTAAGTTAGCTTGAATAGGCGAGTAAGAACTCGACAGATTCTTACGAGTAACATTAACTCTGTGAATCAACAAACCAGATAAATCAATTTGTTAGTTTAAGCCAAGAACACAACAAGATTATTAGCTACCCTATGACCCTGGAATATCCTCTCCTACTGATTTTATCCGAAATTGCCTACGTGTTTTAGTCAATTTCTAGTTTATTTAACTACTTGATAGATTCTTTGATTGTTGATTAATTACTTGTACATTTTGAGAAAAATCACTTGAATAGATAAGTTGTTTGAGTTTGAATCAGTCAAAAGTTAATCATAAGTCTCTGTGGAAATGATACTCTACTCACTACTTTATTACTTGATGATCACGTATATTTGCGTGTGTTTTTGGTCGCAACAAGTTTTTGCCACCGTTTCCGAGGTTTTGAAATTAGCTATTTGTCTGAGTTAAGCTTTTATTAGTTATTTCTTCAAGTTTTAATTTTCAGTTTGCCTTATTTGTGTTAACGCTGGATCTTCTCTTCAATGCGGAGGAGTAGAAGCGCAAACAACCTCCTTCCTCTTGATCATGAAATAGAACGAACACTTGACAGGGTGAGGAGGGAAGTCGAAGCTAGAACTAGAACACAAAGAGAGTTGGACATTGTAGTTCAACCACAACCACTAGAGATGGCAGGTAATGAAAAACGTCCAATGATAGAAGTCGCAAGGCCTAATCTTGCTAATATGACTTAGGCTATTGTGAAGCCTGATATCACGGGTCAATTTGAACTCAAAAAATTCATGGTACAGCTGATTCAGTCCACATGGAAGTATGTGGGTCTATCTCATGAAGACCCGCAGCGGCATATTCAGAACTTCCAAGAAATTATGAATACTTTCAATTATTCAAATGTTTCCAAGGACTATGTTAGGCTGACATTGTTCCCCTTTTCACTATCGGGGGAAGCTAAAGAATGGTTGCAAAAGGAGCCCCCGAACTCGACCCATACTTAGGATGATCTAGCAAGAAAATTCTTAATCAAGTTTTTTCCCACTAAGCAGACAAAGTCGCTCAGGAGCAAGAATCTTGGGCTCTGACAACGGGATGGCGAGACTCTTCGTCAAGCTTGGGAAAGAAACAAGAAGCTACTCAGAGACTGCCCACATCACTGTCAGACTGATGAGGTGTTGGGTCACACTTTCATTAATGGGTTGGACGAGACATCAAAGATGAATCTTGACTCAGCTTGTGGGGGTAGTTGCATGGCAAAGCCGTATAGTGAAATCCAACTCTTGCTAAACAATTTCATTTCTAATGATAATAATTGGCAAGGAGATGGGGAATCACGAAGAGCACATAAATAGAAGGCAGCCGGTGTAATTGAGCTTGATGACTTCTTAGTCATGAGAGCAAATATAGTAAAATTAGCACATCAGATGAATAGAATGACAATGCACCAAATGCAATATATGCAACATGTGCAACAGATGTCTACTTGCTGCAAATTATGTAGTGACGATCACACGAGTGACATATGTCCCATGAATCCTAAATCCATCTATTATGTGGGGGCAAGAGAGTAGAGGCCTGATAAATCAGCATGAACAATATGGGAACACTTACCAACCCAAATTGGAAGAATCATCCTAACTTCTCCTAGGGTGGAAATCAGACGAATCTGAATTAGTATAGGCCCCAAGGAAATTACAGTCAATCTCAGAAGCCATCCCAGCAGTAGAGGAGAGTACGAATGACCTGTTGAAGAAATTATTGCTGGACAATAAGCAACTAAGAACCGATTTCAGATATCTTGAGAGACAAATGGGGCAGCTAGCGTCAAATCGAAATACTAGGCCTACAGGTGCTCTTCCCAGTGATACAGAGAAGAACCCTCAAGTTAATGCAGTCACACTCAAAAAAGGAGGGAATTGGAAGAAGCGCCAAAGAAGAGATGAGATAAGACTATACCTAAGGGGGAGTTGATTCCTAGGGCAACACACGAGTCATAGAAAGATGATGCAAGTTTAGAGACAGTGACTGCTGTAAGGCCACCACCAACTTTTCCCCAAAGGTTACAAAAGAATAATGATGATCGCATGTTTAACAAATTTCTCTCTATGTTGATCCGGGTTAAATTAAATCTTCCATTGGTGGATGTACTTTATGAAATTCCAAAATGTTCTAAGTACATTAGAGATATAGTGGCTCACAAGAGGATATTGACTGAATTCGGGACAGTTTCACTTACCGAGGAGTGCACTTCGAGGGTCCAAAACAAGCTTCCTCGAAAGCTTAAGGACCCTGGCAGCTTCACCATCCCTGTGGCGATTGGTAATATTGATGTGGGCCGTGCTCTTTGTGATATGGGGACGAGCATAAATCTAATGCCTTTGTCTTTTTTCAAGAAATTAGGTCTGGGAGCTCCAAGACCAACCACTGTGATGTTGCAACTAGCCGATAGATCCATAGTTTACCCTGAAGGAGTGATTGAAAATATGTTGCTGCTGATTAGGAAATTCATCTCCCCAACGGACTTTATTATTCTAGATTATGAGGCTGATGAATAAGTTCCAATCATATTGGGACGACCTCTCTTGGCTACAGGTGATGCAATTATTAAAGTGAGAGAAGGAAAAATGATTATGAGGGTGGACAATGAGGAAGTGGTTTTCAATGTCTACAAGGCGATTCAACTTCCCCGCCACTATGAGGAGCTCGCTATGATATCTGTTGTGGAGGTGGATAAGCAACTTATAGACATGAGTGTATACCTAGATGATTCTCCAGAGAAAGCACTCATATTGTTCGATAGTGTCAGGCCCCGAGCCTGGGGGCGAGACCGGCACCCAGTGCCTCACCTATCCTTGCGACTAAGAGACTTTGATCATGTAATGTCATACTTTGGCCATGGGCCACATTACAAGATAATGTGCGATGCAAAATATAAAACTAAATGGTGACTAAAGCTGACTAAATGTCAACATAAAGCTGGGCCAGCAAGGCCGTCATAATTACTACAACTGACAAGCCAACAAAATATACGTACAGGGCCAACAAGCCCAACATACTGCACTAACTGACAGGATATGTCTACAAGCCTCTACTGATAGATGTGCTATAATCGGAACAAGGCCCCGACCTACCCATAACCTATCTACATATATACACAAGATGTACACAAAACTTCTAGACCCGACAACTAAGAAGGACAGGGAGCTTACCGATAAAGCTAAACTCGGGCAAACACCTACTGAAGAGGTCTACCCATCTGTCTGTCTGAACCTGCACGCATGAAATGCAGCACCTTCAGAAAGGGACGCCAGTACAAAATAATGTACCGAGTATGTAAGGCAATATACTGAAAGCTGAAACCGAACTGATAATATAATAACTGAAAGGAAATGGGAGTCAAGGAAAACCTGAAGATATGCTCATATGCTGATACTGACTCAACTCTCTCAATATAGTAAGTAAAATAATTGCCCGGCCTTATAAGGCTCGATAAATGTATATATATATGCTCTGCCGTAGTAGGATTGATCATAGGCGCTCGGCCGTACTAGGCTCTATATCTCGACCAACTGGGCTCGCTCATAGGCGCTCGGCCACAGCAGGCTCGTTGTAACTTACCATCTGATCAGAGGTTGCCCAATAGGGGCCTGCCCATCGATTATAGCACGATGGTAATGAATTTAATAATGTATATATAAACTCTCTGGCCTCTTGACTGGAAGAAAAAAATACTCAATTGAATATGAAGTCCCGATAAGGAGAATGTTGTAACTTACAAAACTAGGAAAATATACGTGATTTGCGAGACTAGCAAAAGATACGTAAACTCCGGGATATAAATTTTTTCTCTATGCCTCTACTTTACCCATTATTAATGTTGGCGCCTACAACACATTATTATATCCTATAGTTTCATTGGATTTGTATACGGTAAAAATCAGAGGGTCCGATTTTATTGCCATTATGATGCTTCACAAGCACGTTTCCAAAGGCTCATGGCATGGATCGAGGTTCGACCCCGAGGGTTCCTGATGTTCAACTTCGGGGCAGTGCAGATCGATGGTTATGATGACAAAACGGGAAGTACCCAAGGCACTTTATTAAAGCTAACCAAGTCTAGTAGGCTAGTACAACCCCGTACCATGGCATTAAATGGCTGTATTAGCCGCGTATCATTGTAATAAATGCATCTGCACCATGTTGGGATTTCTCATCATATATAAAGGGGATCTTTGTCATTTTGTAAGAGAGATAAAATATACAACACAACATTCAATACAAGAACAAGAATATTCTTTGCGCTCTAACTTAAACATACTCTCTATTTGATTCTATTGCCTTCATTCATTATCTTACTTGCATTTATTACATTTTATTAATTGTTCTTCGTTTATTTGATCATAAAGAGCCGCCATCAGAGCTCTCATAATTGTTAATCCTTCATCGACTACCCTTGGCTAAGCATCCAACTCGACCTCAAGGCCCCGTATATGCCAGCTCGAGGCCTCGATTTCCAGTCATTCGGTTTGGCTATTATACTATCTTCAAGCTCTTATCTTATTTTCTATTCTCTCAGTTAGCATCTATTTCCTAACAACTAGCATAAAAATAAATCACGTATTTTTAGAACCACAAAATCAAATCTAATTGTTATTACCATTTTCAAGGTAAACAGTTTGGTGCCCACCGTGGGGCTAAAAATAATAGTGCTTGTTTTCTTGCTGGTTTACTATATAACGCAAGTTATCTTTCACGCTTTTTCTTGTCCAAAGCATCTTTAATTTCAGGTCAAAATGTCAAACTCAGTGAATGCACAGAAGAACAATGGTCCTGAGGACCATGGAGAGAATGGTGTAGCTGTTCCAGGTGTTGGTGTACCACCCCGAAACCCTGAGAACGCACCAGAACCAATTCCCGTGGATGTGGTCTTGCGCAACTCCCAACACGTTGACATAAGCTCCCATACCAACATGAGTATACGCCAAGAGAACCAACAAGAAGCTCAGAAAACCCCAGCTCGGGAAGAATGAGAGGTTAGCCTTCATGTCATTTTTGAGATGTTGTAGGCACAACAGCTGGCGATTGCTCAACTGCAAAGCCACCAAAAAACTCCAAGCACAACGGCACAAAAAATGGCTCCTCAAGCCGAGCAAGTACCAGAAATATCAAGCAACAACGGGTCAGCAGCCGACCCCGCCATCATAAAGATGCTCGAGGACCTCACAAAGAGGATCGAGTCAGGCGAGAAGAAGATAGAAGCCGATGACAAGAAGGTGGAGACCTACAATTCTAGGGTCGATCAAATTCCGGGCGCACCCCCGATCCTAAAGGGTGTAGATTCAAAGAAGTTCGTACAAAAGCCATTCCTACAAAATGCTACTCCAAAACCCATCCCGAAGAAGTTCAGAATGCTTGATCTCCCGAAATACAACGGAACCTTGGACCCTAACGAGCACGTCTCTGCTTACACTTGTGTGGTGAAGGTCAACGACCTAAAGAACGACGAGATTGAGTCCGTCCAACTAAAGAAGTTCGAAGAAACACTTTCGAAGGGGGCCATGATGTGGTACCACAACCTTGCCCCCAATTCAATAGACTCATTTGCCATACTGGCAGATTCTTTCATAAAAGCGCATGCCGGTGCCATCAAGGTAGCTACAAGGAAATCCGACGTCTTCAAAATCAAATAAAGAGAAAACGAGATACGCGGGAATTTGTGTTTCGCTTTCAAATGGAGCGAATGGAGTTACCACCGGTCTTCAACGACCGGGCTGTATAGGCTTTCACTCAAGGATTTAACGAACGAAACTGGGTAGCTTGGAAGCAGCTGAAGCAGAACTTGATTGAATATCCCGCCGTGACCTGGTCGGATGTCCACAACCGATACCAATCGAAGATCAGGGTCGAGGACGACCAAGTGGGAGCCCCCTCGGGGTCAGTATATCCTAGTAGGCTTCTAGCAAAGGAGCCAAGCCAAACAAGGAAAGGTACCAACCATACACTGAAGATAGAAGAAACGCCCCAAGGCGTAACATACCCTGAAATGACCGAAGGTTAGATCGAGGTCAGAATCCTCGGGGACTCGTAATGTCACGCCCCAAAACCGAGGGACATGACCGGCGGTCGACCGGGTTGCCCCAGTCAAGCGGACCTGGGTGCCCTTTCCTATCCCACGTGTTACCCTGTGTTTTCATTACTCATTAATCAAAGGAAATTTGCCATTGTAATAAAAAAAATACTTTTTACAAGCATACATAACGTACATAGTTAATTAATGATGTTTACCACTTTCATCGCCCAACATACCAAAATACATATGTTCGTAACCCACATTTTTACAATCTATGGAGCCTCTAAAGATACATAGGATAACACAGTACTGCCGGGAACAAGGCTCTGGCTATACCTTACACAAAAACCAAAATAAGATTCCGGGATAAAAGCGGCATGAGCCACGCAGGGCCCCGAGAGGAAAGAGGCTCACCAATACAGCTGACGGAAGATGAAGGGGAGCTACGGTCGGTGGACTGGAGTACCTGCTATGGATCCACCTACAATCATAACACGAATGTAGCACCCCCGGCAAAAGGGACGTCAGTACATTTGAATGGTACTGGTATGTATGAACAAACTTTGCCCTAAGCAAACTCAAACCATACTCAAGTAATAAGTAATAATGGAATAAACAATCAAATACACATGAAAGGAAACAATCAAGCCAAACAAACTTACAATCTCTCCATTTCCCAATCAACATTTTTCACATCAATGATTTCACAACTTTCTCATATTTTCATTTCAATAGTGATTTCGATCACTTTCCACCCTTATTGCCTCGGCCACCCTTATCACCATAACCTATACCTTATTACTTCGTGTTGCGGCGCGCAACCCGATCCCACCGAACAATCACAATTCACAAACAATACCACAATAATAACAATTTACAAAGAACAACAACAATTCTCAAGGAACAATAACAACAACTCTCAAAGAATATTAACAACAATTCTCAAAGAACATTAACAACAATTCTCAAAGAACATTAACAACAATTCACAAAGAGCAACAACAACACTTTACAAGAACTTCCATAGTCATCGATTCAATTTCCATCGTATTCCACAACTCATATGCATTTTGTGTACAATGATAATTTTCCACGACAAGCCATACATGTTATTACCACAGCTGTTCCGATTGCATCAATTACTATTCTCTTCCATCATCTGCTTCACAATTCTTACCACGTAGCATATTCACAATCACACACTTGGTTTATTGTCAATTACTTACACCATCTTATCGAAAGACATAACCACAACACCCAACCATGCCAATCACAAGAATTTCACAAACAATCCACGTAGAATTTACATATCAAGCACACAAACTCCAAACAAGGTGATTTTACAAAGGTCAAAGTTAGCCATACATACCTGGAGCCGAATCCCTTTTTAATTTCTACTAATTTCAACTTCACCAAAAAGCCTAGCAACGTCAATCTAGTGCACAAATTAACACATATTCTCAGAATCAAAGTTCACAATCACTA